CTCACTGGAAGAGGGCCCAGCATTTTCAGTGCCCTTCACTGCGTGTTGAGTGCTCTCTGGCAGCATCAAAGGCTTGTTCGATTTGAGCATCATGCTGTGTCACCACATCACGCTGGAGGAAGAGCTGTTCAACCTGCCTTCACCCACTGCCCCTCCATGATTCCTATGGCAGGGAAACTTCCTGTGAAGTGAGGCGAAATCGAGATCGATCGAAAACACGTCACTCAGAAGAATAGCTCGAACAATGGGCCTACTATTCACGAAGGCAGCTGTGGTCGTCCTCGTGGTGCAGTTGGTGTCGCATAACTCCATGACAGACTGCAGAACGATGAGTGGCAGGCACTGATTGAGCAGTGACACAGAGGGCACAGAATCACTCTCAGTTCATGGCGGAGGCCAACGACGTAGCACCCTTCCTGACAGCGAGCAAATTGGAAATGTGGTCAGTGAAATTCAAGCGGAAAGGCATTAGTCACACTGAAGAGCCATTTTTCTTGTTACCGATTGTGCTTTAAGTGATTGCAGCAGATGTGCCACGCAACGAAGGTGTGCCTCCACCTGCCACGGAAAGTGCAAGCAGTCACGGGAATAGGTTTGAGAGTTGGGGGAAAGCATAAAAAATCAAATTTTAATTTATTTTTTTATGATTTTTTTAATGTTTTTTTTAAAGATTTTGATTTATGAATTGGAAAAAATGCTTTTTGATTTTATGAAAATTTATGATTATTTTATGATTTTTTATGGCTCATTTTATGATTTTTTTATGATTGTTTCTCCGCCCACGTCGCCCTAAAAAAAATCATTAAAAAATCATAAAAAAAATCATAATTTTTTCATAAAAAAATCATATTTTTTTCATAAAAAAATCATAAAATTTTCATAAAAAAATCATAAATCTTTCATAAAAAATGATAAAATTTTCACAAAAAAATCATAAAATTTATGAAAATTAGGATTTTTTTTATGAATCATAAAATTTTCATAAAAAAAATCATAAAATTTATGAACATTTTATGATTTTTTTATGAAAATTTTATGATTTTTTTTTAATGAAAATTTTATGATTTTTTCAATGATTTTATTAGGGCGACGTGGGCGGAAAAAAAATCATTAAAAAATCATAAAACGAAGCATAAAAAAATCATAAAATTATCATAAAAAAACATAAAAAATCATAAAAAAAAACATAAATTCAAAAAACGTTTTTTTCCAATTCATAAATCAAAATCATAAAAAAACCATTAAAAAAATCATAAAAATAAATAATTACTAAAACATTTTTAAAGCTGACTTCTCAACTCTCAAGAATAGGTCAATAAAATGAAGACGTCTCCAAGTGCCGCGTCCGTGAAACGAAGCTGGATGTTCCCAAGTGCCAGACCTGCCATGTGTGACAGATGGTGGTGGACAAAGGATGTGTTGGAGAGATGGTAGTGGACAAAGATGTTTGTGAGAGAGGAGGCGGCAAAGATGGTTGACAAAAGATGTGTGTGAGGGATGGTCGTGTGAAAGATGGTTGACAAAGATGTGTGTGAAAATGTGTGAGAGATGGGTGGTTGACAAGATGTGTGAGAGATGATGGTGGACAAAGAGGTGTTGGAGAGATGGTAGTGGACAAAGATGTGTGTGAAAAGATGGTGGTTGCCAAAGATGTGTGTGAGATTGTGTGTATAATGGTATGTGAGAAAGTGGTCTGTGAAAGTTGGGATACAGAATCAAAAACAAGAATCCGCCATGCCAGTAGTACCGCATAAGGCGGTAGCGGAAGTTTAAAAAACAGGAAACATGTAGGAGAGCTTGGTTGTTCTGAACCAGGGATGGCAGAGCGAAGCCACTGCTTGATCTCTTTCACTCTTTCTCTCCCTTTCTCTCTTTTTCTCTCAGTTTCTTTATCTTTGTCTGATTACCTACCGACCTATCCTGTCTGTCTGTCTGTCTGTCTGTCTGTCTGCCTGTCTGCCTGTCTGCCTGTCTGCCTGTCTGCCTGTCTGCCTGTCTGCCTGTCTGCCTGCCTGCCTGCCTGCCTGCCTGCCTGCCTGCCTGTCTGTCTGCCTGCCTGTCTGTCTGTCTGTCTCCCTATCTCCCTATCTATCTATCTATCTATCTGTCTATCTCCCTATCTATCCATCTATCTACCTATCTATCTATCTATCCATCTATCTATCTATCTATCTATCCATCTGTCCATCTATCTATCTGTCTATCTGTCTATCTCTCTATCTACTTATCTATCTATCTATCCAGCTATCTATCTATCGATTTATCGATCTATCCAATCTGTCCA